CCAAGTAAAAAATAAAAAATCTCCAAAAAATCGCTAGTTTTATTTAAATATAGGTAAAATAGCTCCTTGTCGCAAAAAATAAAAAAAAGTTGCAGCTACATTGAGAAAGTAGCTAAATTTGGCGACAAAATCCCCAAATTGGCAACACTGGCACACACACCTCTGGAGTGACCAGACCGCACGCCCCTTTCCGCTTCCGTCACTCACGCTTCTCCAGGCTCACCAGTGTTGCCAACTAAATGCTGATGGCTATTTATGTTCTTACTCAGGGTTTTTGAAAAGATATAGGCTAACATACCTGTTACTCCACGAGTTCACTATTGTAATGGACGCCATGGCATGGGGTCATCATATCTCTTCTTAAAGACTCCGCTAGATCCCAGTCTTCTTTGTCAGTAGTCAGATTGGGAATATTTGATTTTTTATCTGGTTCTTCATGGGCGGAACAGGAGAATTAGCTGTTTCGGAATGAAAAACCCCTCTCTCCCATACACTGTGTCCGACTGGAAGTGTGGTATGCTGAATAAGGGTTTATCATAATAGTTATTGCTTCAAATTAATATGTTATATTGTATATTGAGATGGATGTGTGTGATTGGGTGAACGAAAATGTGCGCGCCAGTGCGTGCATTTGTAGAGGGAGTTCTCGCGATATGCTTCATTCATGATAAAGCATCGGTGAAGAAGCATCGCTTGAACGCAATTCATTTCATATCATCCTTTACAGGAGTACTACAATTTTGGAGGCACCGCTAGGATTGATGTTCGGTGGAGTGACTCCCTGACCGGTAGAGCCCATTTAGCAACATCATCCCCTTTTTAGTGACCCAGATGAGCTGCAGTGTGAGACATTCAGGACGAGTGGTAGAAAAAGATCTAATTGAGCAGTGCATGCGCTGGAGATTCAGTTTGTGACCAGTGGCAGCAAGGTCAAGTCAGTAAGGTAAACACTACTCTTAACGGCCTGTCTACACAGCAGCAAAAATGGATGAGCTTAAACATCTTCAGGATGAAATTGGTGAGAAACTATGCACACTATCACGTGAAAAGCTGGCAAAACTCAGCGTCTTTCTTCGCCTGACACGAGAGGATGAGACAAATGTGACTCGTTTGTTCCTGTTGGGCCTTCTTAGTAACTATCTACTGAGAGCTGAGCTAGAGGAGTTAGAAGATGGCAGCATGGCTGAACTTTTAACAATGAATGATAAACTGAGCCAGTTCATGGGAATCACAATTAATGCTTCAGAACAGGGTACAGAGAGAGTGGAAAATAAACCTGGAGATGTTAACACAGTCCAGAGGGCAATGCAGGAAAGTGCAGCTGAATTGTTTTCTGCCATGCACATTAGTCCCACCGCACCACA